TTCGAGGCTTAGTGTATCCCATCATGCATCATGTTCTGGAAATAAATCGTGAGACTTTTTGCCGAGATCTCGCGAGTGGTCACGAAAACCTTTCCAATGTAAGTTAAATATTAATATAATAATTAGATATTGCATATAATTTGGTAGTAAAACAAAATGCTACACGTTTTATTGGTGCAATTTATTTTATTTATTTTGTACATCATTTGCAACTGCTTTTTATCACTTAATTAGAAGCACCAGAATTTGATCTCTGTTATCTGTTATAGGGACTACTGGACAGACATTTAGAAGTTTATTTTAAAATGCAAAGTATTGAAAATAAAATGAAAACTCTGTAAACACCTGCGTTTTTACAACATTATAAGTGTGTCTCATCAGGTAATGAAAAGTTGTACACACACTTGTGGTCTTCATGCTCACTTGAACACTTGAACACAAATACAGACAAAGATATAAGTGTCATTTCATGACATGGTCTATACGTAGCCACGATTTCACTCTAAATTGGACGGGCTACGTGTAGTCTGCTTTTAGCCCACCTGGCGAAATCGAGGCAATCTGTGGTCTAATTTTAACGGCTTGGCTATAGCCCTATACCAGTAACCAGACCAGCGATGAGCATAGCCAAAATAGTCTTAAAATTGTTTACATGTAATTTTCGCCCGCGCAGTTATCAAATGCAAGTAAACTTTTGAAACATTTAAATTAGCATTATTTTATATTTTATTTAATTATTTTACAGCATTATTTATTATGCCAAAAATAATGCTAATTTAAATTTTTCAAAAGTTTACTTGCATTTGATAATATGTCATGCATCCCATAAGCTGTTAAATGTTACATTCATACACATTATATGACGATAGTCAGCTGTCTTTCATTTTATATATAAAACTGCAATTACAATTCCCAACCACTAGATGGCAATTGTAGCCCTACTGAGACATGACTACTGGCAACGCGAGACATGAGAGTTAGTAGAGATCAGTGTTGTGTTTTGAATTTTGTTTTTACACGAGAGAGCACTAAGTTAACCTGTCGGAGAGTAGCAGGCAAACAACAGACGATACAGGACATTCCTACTTGGTCTTGTATCTGTGTTTTCGTTTTGACATATGTTCATTATTTATCTATATTATTTGTTATCATGTTTAGGAACCGTTACATTTTAGTGAAGGGAGCAGATCGTAGTTGATAGTGATCCGTGACCCACGGTTCAGCACGCATGTGTTCAGAGGATTAATTGCAAAATGTACGTGTTGACAAACTCAAGCTATTTTAAAACAGCGCAAAAGAGGTGAAAGAGCAAACAACAGAACAAACACAGCTGCAGGAACAGGGAGAGGTGATCAGATTGTCCAACGTGGGGGAGGGGAGTTGCTTTGTAAGCATCAGGGATGTTTGTATAAACATGATCAAGAATATTGTCTCCTCTTGTCGGGCAAGTAACATTTTGATAAAATTTGGGGAGAGTTGTTCTCAGATTGGCATGATTGAAATCACCAGCAATAATAAAGACTCCATCCGGATGTGTTGTTTGCAGCTTACCAACAACTGAAGATAGTTCTTTCATGGCTAGTTTAGCATTAGCATCCGGGGGTACATACACTGCAGCAATTATGGCAGTTGTAAATTCACGAGGCAGAAAAAAGGGTCTGCACTTGATAAAGATGTATTCAATATCAGCAGAACAGTGGGATTTAGTAATAACAACATCGGAGCACCAGGATCTGTTTACATAGAGGCAAACACCCCCACCTTTGCTTTTACCGGAGTCCACAGCCGTTCTGTCAGCCCTGTAGATATTGCGCCCCTCTAGCTCAATCACGCTATTTGGAATGGTGCTATTGAGCCAAGTTTCTGTGAAAACCATAACGTTGCAGTCTATAAACATTCGCTGAGTGATCCGAAGTCGTAGCTCGTCGATCTTGTTTGCCAGAGATCGTACGTTAGCGAGGAAGATGCTTGGTATCGCTGGACGATGCGGGTTGAGCTTTAGCTTAGCCCGCAGGCCGCTCCGCTTACCCCGTCTTTGTTTACGTTCGCAGCGCCGACGACGGGCATTTCCTGTCGGACTGGCTGATTCACTCGAGCCCAGGGACCGGAGTAATTCGGGAGGTAGTAGATGAAGATCTAGTGTTGTATCCACATCAGTGTTTGTGTAGCGAAGTTTGATATCCAATAGTGTGTGACGGTTGTAAGAGGTTAATGCGACATTGGCATGTGTTATTCAGGTGTCAAAGTTGTGCAGAGTTGAAGGAAGAAACCTCAAAGACAGTGCCAGAAGGATGCTGGACAGGTAAAGCCTACAAATCTTGCCACGTTAATCAAATATTGTGGTGTCAATACTCAATAAGTTACAAGGCAAATCAGAAATTAAAAAAAGAATTCCTTTACTGGTCATTTTGAAATGTCAAACTTTGTCCGCAATTGTTAACCACCTCAATCTGTATTATATTTTAGGGTGTTAAAAAAATTCCCTCATGTCCAAATTCAATATGAAGGGGGGTGGTCCACTGCAGAAAGAGGCATTTGAAAAGACTGCACTGTTCTCTGTCATTAGAGGTATGTGTATAAAACACAACATTAACCAGAGAGCTTCTCTCTTTTTTTTAAACACACCGAATGGTGATACACTATATTTATCTCATTTTTGTTTTTATTTGGCATCCAAGCAAAAGATAATTACTCCCTGTCACAATTAGTGTAATTTGTGATAACATGCTCTTGATTTGTATTAGATTTTTTTTTCTTTTAAATATCTTAAGTTATTTAAAATATATTATTTTTTTATTTTTATATTTGTATTATCTTAAACTTGAAATCGCATCATATGACCCCTTTAATAAAAAGCTATATATTTAATTTGTTTGGATGGATTGCCATTTTGTTGTCTATTAGATGTATATATGTAGGTATTCATTAGCTGTCTAATTGATGACTAGTCTATTCTTGGGCTATGGTTAGACGTCTATTAAATTTTCACTGACAACCCAAATTTAGCCTTGTTTTAGCCTAGACGGCTGTGTTTAGACGGCTAATAGACGTCTTTTAAACGCAAAATTGCTTGCTGGGAAGCAGCATAAGGGGATTAGAGGTTGGCGATATAACAAAGTTTTTCAAGTACAGTATTTAATTTAACATGTAACAAATACTACTACTAAATTTAATAATGAAATGTAAGTCTTCACTGTATAAATTACAGGTAAATATAATTTGATCCTTATTAAATATTAGGGTTGGGAATCGAAAAACGATTCCTATTCCAGAATCGGATACTTAAGGTCAGGAATCGGATACTTGTTGTCAAATTAAAATTTCGATTCCGCCTATTGATTCCTATACGCTTTTTTTTTTTTTCATCTGTGAGGAGGACCGGACCTAGCGATCTGCCAGGACCTTGCTCGCTAATCTAAGCGCTCCAAAATTTGGATACATTTGTGATCAGATGCCAAAAAGCTAAGTATAACATCTGTGATAGCTAAACATGTTGCAAGAGTCACCACCAACATGACAAAGCACTTAATTAATAGATCGTTAAAGATCACGAACACGATTTAGTTTTCTAATGTTTTTTCACCAGTGTGATTCTATTCCTAAATTACAATAATTCCTCTGTTTCATTCCTCAACCTTTGACATGTGTGATCAATGTTGTGATCACTTGTTGGTTCATCCAGGCAGAGTACGATCACACCAGTGTGATTTGAACATTTAAATTTGCGTTCGCGCTGCCGCTGACCCAAAGAGAGCAGCTGTCTGTCATGAATGAAATAGCTTCACAGTCTTTTCAGCCACACAGTATCATTATTTCTGTGTTACAAACATTCAAATCACAGAAGTACTGGGGATAAAAGTTTATAGTTCAGATATAAACTCTGATGTGTATGGTAGCGATTAAAATAAATAAATCACGTAAATCGTAAATCACCTTTTGAAAGTAATTTGACACTACAAATGAAGATTTATCAAATTCATTGTTACGTTAAAATAAATAAATCACGTAAATCGTAAATCACCTTTTGAAAGTAATTTGACACTTCAAATGAAGATTTATCAAATTCATTGTTACACCAGTAGGTCGCGAAAAGAGGCTGTTAAAATGTATTTGTCTTTGAATCATACAAGAGATTCGTTCAAGAACGCTGATTCATCCAGTACTGAAACAAGTAGGCTACATCTTGAGTGAGTCATTTAATCATTAATTCATAAATTACATGTGATTTTGTTTAGTTGTCTAATGTTTTTTTCTTCAGAATCATGAGAGAACCACAACTTCCATTGGGGGAAAAAAGAAAAAGGGAAAAAAAAAACTAAATTTATCCAGAATCATGCAGCTCTGTTTTGCACACAAACATCTCTTAAAGAGTCCAGTTTTTATGTAGCCTGTTGATTTTTGTTCATGGTATTCAGCTCAAATAAATGGTTTGCAAAAAAGAGACACAGGATAAATGTTTGATATTATTATTTAATCACATTGGAATTGAAACTGGGAATTGAAAAGAATCGGAATTGATAAGCAGAATCGGAATCGGAATTGATCAAATTCAAACGATAGTATCGTGTATCGACGATAGTCAGAGATATCGACGATAGCAGATGTCTTTGTCGATAGTCAAGACCATAGGTTCATTCTCTTATTAATGTATTAAATAATAATAATAATAATAATAATAATTATTACTATTATTATTATTAGGCGGCCCATTATAATTTGGCTATTATTATCAAATTGCCCCGCTTTTTCTGTATTTCACGTATTTCACACACACACACACACACACACACATGCATGCGCAAATGAGGAGCCTGTAGCCGGTGAAGGAGTCTCCAACCACAAACACAGACATATCGTCTGCTGATGTAAGGTATTTCGTTGCACTTTAACAAGTAATCTGAACGGCCTGTATATTTGCAATATTTTAACCGAGCCCTCACTAACTGAGTTTAATGCCACAGTTATGTTAGAACGCATCTCATCCTTGTTTCTGTGGCGGTGCGTCGGGCTCGTCATGCAGCGCGCA